TTATTATTTAATTATTATTAAATTATTAGTTTTTTTCTGGTTCACTGAGACGGGTCAGGGTGGAGTGTAGATAAAGGAATAACTTGTTGTATTTGCAAGCTTCTGCCAGGAAATAATTTTGGTCATGCTCCTCTGCATTAAACTTGAGTCCTTCCTCCCTGTGGCTCACGGATGATCAAATCCAATCTGATATCCACTACTATCCACTACTACCTTACAGTGTGACAACTACAGTTCTTCCGAATGTGAACTCAAACACTCATTCACTCACTCACTCACTCACTCACACACATGCCAAAATGCATGCACAAACCAAATCTTGCCCCACATTTTCTCTGTACACTCAATGTTGGCCATTTGCCAGACATCTTGTTGCGCCATCTTGTTGCGCCTAGGTTCCCCTAGACCTGGGCGTAAAACATCTATTNTGTCTCTGTGTGTGTGTGTGTGTGTGTGTGTGTGTGTGTGTGTGTGTGTGTGTGTGTGTGTGTGTGTGTGTGTGTGTGTGAGAGAAAAAGTGTGTGTGGTGTCAGAAGACAGCAGACTGTGTCGATTCCCTGCAACCTTTCTGTTTTTAACTGAAGAGGGGGCGTCAGACAAAAGACCAGAAGACACTGAACATATAGGTTCACCTTCTGGATAGAAAACAGAACAAATGAACCAAAGGAAGTGAGATTCAAGCAGTAGGTGTGTAGATTCACACTGAAAGTACTAATCCTGCATATAATGCCCAATTTAGAAATGAAACAGGTTCTTTATTTGCACCCGTAGGTAGATTTAGAAAACAAAATCCTGACCCACTCTAAAAACAAACACAGACACATTTCTAATAAAAGTACACCCTGCTCCGTCAAATCTCAACATATTTAAAAAGAAAAAGTACAAACACGGACATTCAAAATTCCTAATACATAAATAGGCATGTGTGTGTGATTATCCCATTACTCCCCAACCCATAGACCTTCAATGCTGCAGGAGACAATATCAAATGAGTTATTGTTATTCTAAAACACACTTCTTTGTGCTAATGTTATTTTAAATATGAAGTGTTACCTTGGCCGGTCCCTAGGAGCGGTAGATGAACGGCAACTCTCAGAGTTTTCTCGACACATGACCTTGAGTGCTTTTTTCATAATTTTCCTTATTTTTTTAGGGCACTACCTCGGGCTATCCACAAAAAAGAGATAAGTCAGGGGATCACTCGAGGCAAAAGATGTGAAATTAGACAATCTCCAGTCAAAAACACTCCCGACTGTTCATTAACTAGTTCAATTAAAAAACTCTGGTTGAAGAATAATTAAATGAAAATGATCAAATTAGCCTTTGTTTCATGTGTAAGCTACTCTTTTCAATTATTCAAAGGGTGGTAATTATTTAAGGAATTTAGTGACAGGAGTCTGGTTAACATCCAATTATAGCAGCATTTTTTAACATTTAATAAAATTGCAATAACTCCACTGCACTAACATGTGGAACAATGGTGGAGTTGAGGTGCTTAAGACCAACAAGCATTTAACCACTTGAATTAAAAGCCCTATTCACAAAGATGATGAACTCATCTGGAACAAGTGCATACTCCCAAGAGACGGGAAATTCATTATAGAATAAAGGACATGTGGGTTCATATTTTGACAGACATCTATAATAACTTTAACTCGAATAAGACGGAATATATCATCTGCATTGTGTGTAAAAAGGACAGAAAAATACTTCTCTGACTGATATGCGTGTACTAGACATCCTTGGTTTGTCAAATATAAGAAATAAAGGGGAAAAGCTATTTAAAGACAAGTTATTCCCTTAAAAAAGTATTTTAATATACTAGAAGATTCTCTGAGTCGGTTTGTTTACTTTCGTAAAATAGTGACATCACTGTGTAACACTCACGCTCCTATTGGGACATCTCTAAGCGGTTAACCAATCAGGAGAGGACTCTTTAAAGTAGAGACACTACATACTGATATACACCTGAACATCAGCAGGAGAGGACTCTTTAAAGTAGAGACACTACATACTGATATACACCTGAACATCAGCAGGAGAGGACTCTTTAAAGTAGAGACACTACATACTGATATACACCTGAACATCAGCAGGAGAGGACTCTTTAAAGTAGAGACACTACATACTGATATACACCTGAACATCANCTTTAGTCCTGGTAGTTCTTCGTGAGACTTACGTGGCAGCCGACTGGTCCTCTGGAGACATTTATTATATTTCCATATAATGTATAAAATATATATATAATTTCCATGGACACCTCGAGGCATCTACATCTCGTGGTCGCCGAGCAAGAGGCCCTGCTGCTTGGTCCGAAAGACGGTCGGCGCGGGTGAGGGAAAGAGGTACACCACGTTTTTTGATGTTTAGTGTGACACGAGGCGACGGTCCCTCCGGACAAAGATATCGTTGTTCCCTGTCTCTATATTTCTCCCAGTCACAAAGACGTCCTTCCTCTCCTTTACAAGTTGTTTGTCTAGTGAATATACATATTATTGAACGAAATATAAAACAATGACATTTAAACATTAAGTTGTAAAAGATGAAAGAACAAATAAAGAAATTTAACAATAACATGTTACGGTACAGAAAAATACGACGACGTTGTGTTTGTAAAGGGTTTAACCCTTATTATTTCACGTAGAATAGAAAAGAATAGAATAAAAGTCTCATACAAAAGACGTGACTGGAGGTCCTACCTCGCGGAGGAGACCGACGACGACGAGTCGTCCCGCCCGCTGCCGCTGCGGGGGTGGTCGTACCGCACCGTCAGCTACGTTTGTGCCAACCACGCCAACAACAGCATGCTTTCCGCTCGTGCTTTGAGACTTGTAAAGGGTGTTTGGTGGACCTCCGTTTTGTTGTCAGTCAGTCTACAAACATCAGAATTTCCCCGGGATAAGAGGACTACAAGTCCACATATAGTCATACATCACAGAGATGAAATTTCTCAGGAGAGGACGACTACAAGTCCACATATAGTCATACATCACAGAAATTTCTCAGGAGAAGATGACTACAAGTCCACATATAGTCATACATCACAGAGATAAAATTTTTCAGGAGAGGACGACTATAAGTCCACATATAGTCATTACATCACAAGATGAAAATTTCTCAGGAGAAGATGACTACCAAGTCCACATATATCATACATCAACAGAGATAAATTTCTCAGGAGAGGACGACTATAGGTCCACATATAGTCTATACATCACAGAGATGAAATTTCTCAGGAGAGGGACGACTACAAGTCCACATATAGTCATACATCACAAGAGATGAAATTTCTCAGGAGAGGACGACTACAAGTCCGATTACAAATAGTCATACATCACAGGAGATGAAATTTCTCAGGAGAGACGACTTACAAGTCCACATATAGTCATACATCACAGGAGATGAAATTTCTAGGAGAGGACGACTTACAAGTCCACATATAGTCATACATCACAGAGATGGAAATTTCTCAGGAAGAGGACGACTACAAGGGTCCACATATAGTCCATACATCACAGAGATGAAATTTCTCAGGAAGGACGGACTACAAAGTCACACATATAGTCACACTGATCACAGAGATGAAATTTCTCCAGGAGAGGACGACTACAAGTCCACATATAGTCATACATCGACAGAGATGAAATTTCTCAGGAGAGGACGGACTACAAAGTCCACATATAGTCACACATCACAGAGATGAAATTCTGCAGTGAGAGGACGACTACAAGTCTCCACATAATAGTCTATACATCAACAGAGATTAAATTTCCAGGAGGAGGACGACTACAAGTCCACATATAGTCATACATCACAGAGATGAAATTTCCCAGGAGAGGACGACTACAAGTCACCATATAGGTCATACAAATCACAGAAGGATGAAATTTCTCAGGAGAGGGGTACGACTACAAGTCACATATAGTCATACATCACAGAGATGAAATTTCTCACGGAGAGGACGACTACAAGTCCACATATAGTCATACAATCACAGAGATGAAAATTTCTCAGGAGAGGACGACTACAAGGTCCCACATATAGTCATACATACAGAGATGTACAGGAGAGGGTACTGTAAAACTTACAAGTTTTCCAGAATAAAAAAGAGTCATGATCACAGCAGATCCACAGACGTCGTAGTACAATAAGTGGGAGACAAGACTTAAGGTCACATATAGTCATACATCACGAGACTTAATCCAGGGAGGACGACTAAGGACCGAGACATAGCACTAACTCAGCTGAGATGAATCTCTACCAGAGGACGACACGAAGTAAACGATAGATTCTTTAATTTTACACAACCTTCGCGAATGACGTCACTTGCTATTGATCATGATTACTAAACAACTCAATAACTTAGGATTATTTATTATAAGCTATTGTATAGTAGACAGGCGCCAGTCAAAACAATTAGTAATAATGTCTACATTGTATAATTACTTAATAAGTCACTACAATGGATCTGTGTTTACATTTGCATGCAGAGACGTCACGGCAATAATTATTTTTGCTACATTTAGGTGTGTCTTAATGATTCTAATGTAGTGTTTACATTTTATAAGCCCATCTATGCCGGAAGCAACAGGGTCCGAAGTTCACAACAACCAAGTTAATTTGTGTTACATTTATAAGTACTTACTAGTCAGAGAATTGTGTACACATTATAACGTATTACATTCACAGGCGTCCGAGACGTCACGTCAGTAATTAATAAGTTTTTACATTTATAATACACCTTTCTAATGTCTAAACTTGTCTACATCTAGTGCACAGGCGTCCGGAACGTACCACGGCAGAGAACCACTACCTCAACTTGTTTGCCGAGTACTGTAAAGTATGTGTGCCAGTGGAGGAGGGAAGAGAGACTACCCCCTAGCCTCGGGCGAAGGGGTCGAGGTGTGGTCGGAGACTTCCTCCTGTCTAGAGTCCAGTCAAATTATGTTAGTTGGGACTGACTAAATGGACGACGTCCACTTCTATGACACATTGAATTCGCCTCAATGTAAAAAATTCTAAGAACTAATTGAGCTGAGAACGAAACCTAGTTTGTTGTTATTTGTTTTTTATTGTAAGTGTTCATTTTATTATTATTCTTATTGACAACAAAAACAAAGGAGGTCGTCATAAATTAGAGAATAGAAATTGGGCACACGGAAGTTCGAGATGTGAAGGTTGGCGGGGGGGATTAAATAAAAATTATAACCTATATTTTATTTATCGTTTCCTTAGAATAAAAGGTGGTCACACCCTATGTAAGTTACTAATCGTTGTTACTAATACTACGTAAAATTAATTATATAAGTATTACATAAAAGGTTATCCTCTTGTATTATTATATTATTTACTTAGTTAACTTTTATTATTTAGAGACACTACATACTGATATACGCCTGAACATCAGCAGGAGAGGACTCTTTAAAGTAGAGACACTACATACTGATATACACCTGATTATGAGCATAATAGGGCCCCTTTAATAACATAAATCAACTACAAACTTATGAAGTGTTTGTCTAAAATGATGATAACTGATTCACAGGAGAATCATTTTACAGCAGCATCACTGGGGGCAATCATGATTTCATGCCTCGTGTTTTGGAAAGCATATTTAGACGTGCCTGATTTAACACCCTCATAAGATGGTAATTATAATCATTAATTATAATTTCATACTTAGAAATAAATAAAACTCATGCTTTAGCTGTTCGTGCTTCTAACAATCCTTCATGGATTTTTGCTAAATCACAGTTTCTTGAACCAGTTTACCCACAATCTTGAATATAATACCATGTAATAATTCTAGTGCTTGTGGCACTGTAATATAGCGATCTGGGTGACTTTTCTTTTCCCCAGGCCTCTGAGTGCAGTGTAAGTGTCCATAATGAGTGCATATCATTTGTTGAAATAATTGTCTCTAATACCCTTTTCCACAAAAGAGTTTCCAGTGCCAGTTCAGAGCCAGTGCTCGATTTCAAACCAGTTTTTTGTGTTGCAAATTGACTCGAACGTTACTACACAATCATATAAAAACACTCTTATATAAATCCAGGCAACACTAACCAGGCATACATGTGGGTTTATACCCTAATTGAATGACCACCCATTTGCTATTATCATCGTTTTGCAAGCAGCGGTATAACTTTCTCTTGTTTTTTTATTATAGCCATGTCAAACTATCATAAGTAAGATCATGTTGAAAAATAGCCCGGTAAAATATGCCAGTAGAAAATTGTTTATGACACAATATTATGCAACAAGTGGTCGGATTAGCTTCGATGGCTATGCTACCAGCACATGTAATACCAGAGAAACTTTCAACTAAAAAAACATTCACTTTTGGGGATATACAGTATACATCAGGAGTTGTGTGATAATCAGACAGTGAATGAACCACATTGGCAACAAATCTGTTTCTGTTGTTGTTGTTGTTGTTGTGAGCGGCCCTTTTTCAGTAGAAAAGCGGTATGATTGATTTGACTTAAAAAGCAGGATCTAATGAAAAGGATTATTTTCTTGCTGGACTTTTGGCTGCATTAATCAATCAATCAGAACCTCCTCAAAATTCGAAGGATGTTGTGTTGAAAAACTGTTAACACACACAGTACACCCAGTGTGATCGGTCAAAGTGATCTGCATGTCATCAATCTCATCGATAAGCTACGAAAGGTAATCACTATACGAGTTATGTCCCTGTCAGCGCTGTATTTATGTGACATGTGACACTGTCCCTCAGCATCACAAACCATGCCCTCCATAATCAAAGGGTCCAGCCAAGCACTCTCTGCTCCCTCTTCTCCCAGCGCCTATTAACAAGCCTAATAGCCGTGAAATTTGACAACCGTTGTGTAGGAAACAGGCAATCAAACATCCCCCGTACCCTCCCTTAAACAGGGGCTGTCACTCACTTTGAGAAAGACGCATGAGAGAGGAGTGAAGAGACACCCTGACAGACAGGAATCATGCTCTCTGACGTCAAAGCATAACAACTGGATGCATTTCAGAGCGTTTCTTTAGATGCTGAGTGTCAGCTCAGGTCATTCTCTGTCCTGAGACTTGAGTGTCAGACGGTTCACTGCATATCTGCTGCAGAGCCTCGTGGGTATTTTAGTTAACTGTGAGGAATTAAACAGGCACACAAGGTGATTAACATCTCATTAACAATGATAAGGTCGTTCACTTTTTAATACAAGCGGGATTATAAGGTTATGACAGAGAAACATATTGTTTGCCGAGCTGCAGCAGGGGAGTATTTCCACACACATTTCATTATAATTAAGGAATTAGCAAATCCGTAAATAAATCCTCCTTTGCAAGAATGGCACTGATGGAAACTACGATGAATGTTTTTGCATTTTGAATTAAGTTCTCATTGCTGCAAAATTAAATCTGCTCAAAGAATAGTCATTTGCAATTCATACTAGACGATTTTGATTAGCTCCTGCTTCCTCTGCATGCTTCCTTTTTGGCACTTTCTATACGATCAGCTGGCTAAAAACAAAGCAGAATCACTGAAGGCTGCCTGCTGCAGGTGGAAAGTACACTTTGTACTTTGACAACTACTTTGACAGCTCGAGTCGATTCCTTTCTGTCTTTCTGTACAAATAGTAACCTCGTGATTTCACCTGCAGACACTCTCTTTGTGCACAGCTCTTCATTCTGGCACGGTTATACACTCATTTGATATGCAATTTTCCCGAGGCTTTAAAGCTGTGAAATGTAGCAGGTGGAAGCATGGAGAAGTATGTAGATGTGTCCTCTCTTATGAAAATAATAAAAGAGCTTGTAATCCTCCTGTGCATTCAGCTTTAGCACTTTATCTCTCGATGGGTTGAACATGCTTTTGAATAAATATAACATACTCAAAGCAAGCTCCTCTTACTCATTGAGAGAATTAATTCAGAGGTGCATAATTCATTGAAATACACAGTTCCTGCAGAATTAATTAATAATAACTTTACCGTAAACATTATTCCCCTCGGAGCTCACGTGGTCCCATGTGGCTTCCTCTCTGCACTTACAAACATTTTGGGATTTTAATGCACACAAAATCTGTTAGAAATCAGCGATTCACGAACCTACCTCAGTGACAGTTCGGCGTAAAACAGTCCTCCATGAGATGATGCGTTCTCGGTCTTAACCGCTCCATCGAAATCCACTCCGTGTGTGTGTGTGTGTGTGTGTGTGTGTGTGTTGTGATTGTGTGTGTTGTGATCGTGTGTGTTGTGATCGTTGTGATTGTGTGTGTTGNTATATCAGTATGTAGTGTCTTTAAAGAGTCCTCTTCTACTGATGTTCAGGTGTATATCAGTATGTAGTGTCTCTATTTTAAAAAGTCCTCTCCTGCTGATATTCATCAGCAGGAGAGGACTTTTTAAAATAGAGACACTACATACTGATATACACCTGAACATCAGTAGAAGAGGACTCTTTAAAGACACTACATACTGATATACACCTGAACATCAGCAGGAGAGGACTCTTTAAAGTAGAGACACTACATACTGATATACACCTGAACATCAGGAGAATAGGGCCCCTTTAAGACTACAAACATCTGACTGACTGTTGTTTTGCCTCCAGGTGGTTTGTGGGAAATGTTCAGAGTTTCGTGCTCGCCTTTCGTACGACAACAACCGCACCAACCGTGTTTGCATCGACTGCCACGCCATGCTGGTGGGGGCGTCGCCGTCGCCCGCCCTGCTGAGCAGCAGCAGCCAGAGGAGGCGCTCCATCCTGGAGGTCAGTGCAGAAAACATACTCTGAAAATAAGATAAGAAAAGATAAGATGCACTTTATTATTCCCAATTTGGGAAATGTTTGTGTTGCAGCAGCATAAAAAGACATGGCATTGTACAATAACAATTTAAAGAAATAAACAAGAAAGTAGAAAATGTTGAATTACAAATTTACAGTAACAAAATATAAAGCAAGTTATTATACATATAAGTGATCTGTTTGTTGAACATTTCCTCTCCTTCCTGCAGAAACACTGACCCTCTTTATATCTCTGTCCCTTGTTGCTATAGAAACAGGCCTCCCTGGCAGCGGAGCACAGTGTGATTTGTAGTTTTTTGCACCACATGGAGAAAGGGAGTGGGCGCGGCTGGCAGAAAGCCTGGTTCGTCGTCCCGGAGAACGAGCCGCTGGTGCTCTACATCTACGGAGCTCCACAGGTACCTTTAATATATATATAAAATATGTAATATACCTTTATATTATTTACAGAGGTCTCCTGGTCAGCCGACGGTGCATTCAGGTGCTTCTTGGATGGTCCTATTTCCCAAATTGGGAAGTCTTTCTTCCAACTTTGGTTTCAGTTTCAGTTTTATAGGTCATGTGTATGTTCACACGGGGTCAATGTTACGATAACAAAGTGTTTGACTAGGGAAAGGACCTGCTCTGTAGCAAAGTCACAACTTGCTTTTACTAGATCACTAGAAGAATGAAAAAATGACAATAATAAGGAAAGACAGTAAAACATTAAAGGTGGGGTAGGTAATTCACTTCAGAAACACTTTTTGTTATATTCCATGGAATGCTCTTAACGTCCCGATAGCAATGAATATATTAAATGCTTTGACAATAAATACATACACACATTTCATCTCTGGAAGCCGGGGTATTGTAAAAAGCACGACCAATCATCTGAGCCGGCCCGGCTAAAGTAACTGGATGGCCTACCTGCCTGTCAGCCTTCCATCTGTGCACAAACTTATCTCGTGCCCTCATTGGTCATGTGCGCGTTTGTGTGTGTTGGAGGAGGGGCTCTGTGAGGAAGTCTGAAGGAAGGGGTAGATTTGTTTCGGCTGCGTACTTTCAAATTCCAGCGCACTCGAGCTGGTTTCTCCATTCTTACCTACCCTACCTTTAAGGTACCGGAGTTGTTTGATAAAATAAGTAGAGACATAAGTATACTGTACCAATATAAAATAATGAGCATTGTGTGGAAAAGTAAGTGACAGTGTTGCACAAATGTAATGAAGAAAGGTAAATAAATAAAGTTCAGCTAAAAAGTGTAATTTACGGTTTTTTACTCGAGGGGGGGGTTCATGTGAAAACTTATTCCGATATCACATGAATGCAGCACAAATGCCCTTTCTAGAAATGTGAAGAAAAGTGAATATTACACACACATATAAATACATTGAGGCTCAAAAATATGTAAAATTAAAGGCGGGGTCCCTGGCAGAATTGCATTGAGGTAATGAAAGCAAAAATAAAATCCACACAGGAAAGCAGCCATTGTTTCTTTAGTGGCGATGATGTATTACCCATGATGCAATATGAACAGATAACTGACAGTATTGATCATATCTCCCCTCCAGGATGTGAAGCGCAGCGCAGCGTTCCTCTGATTGGCTTTGAGGTCTCCCTCCCCGAGTCATGTGACCGCCTCGAGCGCCGCCACGCCTTCAAGATCTCCCAGAGTCACCTGACGCTGTTCTTCAGCGCCGACTGTGAGGAGCTNCTACGTGCTGAAAAATAACGAGCACGTTCTGTTGTTTTCTATACAAGGTGGCTGCGAGCTTTGTGTGTTTCATTTTCGACATAATGTCAGATCAAATGAGGACAAAGCAAGGCTGTGATGATGAAAACCTGTGCCAGGTTACGACGGAGAAAGAGGACAGACTCCTTCCTAAATTAGCCGTGGCCTGCAGACCGTCACTTAAATCCCCACAAAAGAGCACAGAGCTCAGACGCAGAAGAAGAGGACGGTATATCTCGTGTTTGGGTGTCATGGACCAAGATCAGTTTCAAGTTTCTGAATCATTGTACCCAAGTCCAGGGTCAATCTGATTGCACTGAAATACAGACGCAAGGGCTCGATCCCTGTACAAAAAACTGCCTGCTGTAAATAATGCGGGTGCGTGGTGAATGTGTGTGGTGTGTGAAGTGAAAAATGTGATATGGTTTTCAGGATCTCCGTGATATGTCTATGTCTGGTGTGGTGTGATGGTGTGATGTGGTGTGTAGATGTGTATAAAAGTGTGTGTGATGTGTGGTGTTGTGTGTGTGTGTGGGTGGTGTTGTGTGTGTGTGTGGTGTGTGTGTGTGTGTGGTGTGTGGTGTTTGTGTATGTCCTCTGTGTGTGTGTGTGTGTGTGTGTGTGATGTGTGTGTGTGGTGGTGTCTATGTCTCTGTTGTGTGTGTGTGTGTGTATTGTGTGTTGTGTGTTTGTGTGTGTGTGCGTGTTTGTGGTGTGTGTGTCCTATATCTGGTGTGTGTGTGTGTGTGGTGTGTGTGTGGTGTGTGGTGTGGTGTGTGTGTGTGGTGTGTCTAATGTCTCTGTGTTTTGTGTGTGTGTGTGTGGGTTGTGGTGTGTGTGTGTGTGTGTGTGTGTGTGTGTGGGTGTGGTGTGTGTGGTGGTGTTGTTGTGTGTGTGAGAGAAAAAGTGTGGTGTGGTGTCAGAAGACAGCAGACTGTGTCGATTCCCTGCAACCTTCTGTTTTAACTGAAGAGGCGGGCGTTCAACAAAAGACCAGAAGACACTGAACATATAGGTCTTCACTTCTGGGATAGAAACAGAACAATGTTTTAAATTCTGCTTGAACTCTCTGAGATTCAAGCTAGTAAGTGTGCTAGACACGGACAGCCAGCGTATCCTGCATTATCCTGTAGCCGCTAATACTAGAAATGTCAGGTTTCTATATTTGTTCGCTCGTTTTTTTAATGTATGATTTATTGTAAACCACTCATATTCTGACTCATTCTGTGGAGAAACTATGTAGGTTTATCTATAGTACACTATGTGCCCGCCATCATACCAGAAGTCACTGTTCCTCGCCTCTACCACCATCCCTGCATGTCTGTTTATCTATTAAGAATACACTTAAGCACTTTCTCCCATAACCTATAAATGCAAACATCTGTCTAAATCTCAGTTTGGCATTTGCACACTTATAGCAATATGTTTTAATACAATGTACTGACAAATATTGGATGGATTGCCTTGGCTTTTATGCACATTTTCTCTCAGAATCTATTTCAAATCACTTTGTGTGCATCAATTACATGAATCATACTTGGTGCTCAAACTCAAATGATTTATGGACGGTGTTCCCTGATGTTAAAAATATTAGTCATAGAGAAACCTCCGTTGTTTTCTTGCTGCTGTTAACATTCATCTTGATGCATATAAGTAAAGCACCGGCTACAGGAATACACTCCAGCTTCTGTCACATCACATTTTTCTTATTTCAGCATCAGCTGAATTTCGTTGTGCACCCCTGTGTTGCATAATGAGAATAAATTAACCTCTGATTGACTGAATATCCAAGTAACCAGCAGTGACATTTTATTTCCCCCATTAAGGTGTTATTGACACACAATCCTCCCTTCCTCTGTGAAGGCTTGTTTGGTATGGAACATGAGGGACAGCGGTGTCCTCATTGTGCCGCAATCATCGTGATAAATTGCTCCGACCCCGTGCCGCGCTGTGAACTCGCCAAGACTGGAAATACCTCTGCAGCTTGTTATGTGAGGACAGTGTCAAGCTGCTGTAAATTACTTGTTTTCTTTCCTGAAAAAAACCCCTTTCAGAGGAGAATGGTCAGATTGTTGCAGTGGTAAATGCTTCCCTTTTTTTTTTTACTTCAAAAGGACATATTCTCCTGATGTTCAGGTGTATATCAGTATGTAGTGTCTCTACTTTAAAGAGTCCTCTTCTGCTGATGATCAGGTGTATATCAGTATGTAGTGTCTCTACTTTAAAGAGTCCTCTCCTGCTGATGTTCAGGTGTATATCAGTATGGTAGAGTCTTACTTTAAAGACAAGTTCTCTGCTGCTGAAGTATTTCAGGTGTATATACAGTAGAGTGTCTCTACTTTAAGAGTCGGTCTCGCTGATTTTCAGTGTAATCGCAGTATGTAGTGTCGTCTACTGTGTAACACTGCACTGCTGCTGACATGTCTCAGGTGTATCCAATCGTAGGTAGAGGACTACTTAAAAGAGTCTACTGCATGCTGATGTCAGCTGAACATCAGTATGTGTGTCTCTACTTAAAGTAGAGACACTACATACCTGCTGATGTACAGCTGTATATCAGTATGAGAGTGTCTCTACTTTAAAGAGTAGCTCTCCATGCTGATATACAACGTGGATCATCAGTATGTAAGGTGTCTCTTTCTAAGTAGAGTCCCTCACATGCTGATGTACAGGTGATATCAGTAGGATAGGACTCCTACTTTAAAGAGGTCCTCTGTACTCTATATACAGCTGTATATCAGCAGGAGAGGACTCTTTAAAGTAGAACAACTACATACTGATATACACCTGAACATCAGCAGGAGAGGACTCTTTAAAGTTGAGAGACACTACATACTGATATACACCTGAACATCAGCAGGAGAGGACTCTTTATAGTAGGACAACTACATTACTGATATACCACCTCTGACATCAGCAGCAGGAGGACTCTTTAAAGTAGAGACCCACAATACTGATATACACCTGAACATCAGCAGGAGAGGACTCTTTAAAGTAGAGACACTACATACTGATATACACCTGATCATCAGCAGAAGAGGACTCTTTAAAGTAGAGACACTACATACTGATATACACCTGAACATCAGGAGAATATGTCCTTTTGAAGTAAAAAAAAAAAGGGAAGCATTTACCACTGCAACAATCTGACCATTCTCCTCTGAAAGGGGTTTTTTTCAGGAAAGAAAACAAGTAATTTACAGCAGCTTGACACTGTCCTCACATAACAAGCTGCAGAGGTATTTCCAGTCTTGGCGAGTTCACAGCGCGGCACGGGGTCGGAGCAATTTATCACGATGATTGCGGCACAATGAGGACACCGCTGTCCCTCATGTTCCATACCAAACAAGCCTTCACAGAGGAAGGGAGGATTGTGTGTCAATAACACCTTAATGGGGGAAATAAAATGTCACTGCTGGTTACTTGGATATTCAGTCAATCAGAGGTTAATTTATTCTCATTATGCAACACAGGGGTGCACAACGAAATTCAGCTGATGCTGAAATAAGAAAAATGTGATGTGACAGAAGCTGGAGTGTATTCCTGTAGCCGGTGCTTTACTTATATGCATCAAGATGAATGTTAACAGCAGCAAGAAAACAACGGAGGTTTCTCTATGACTAATATTTTTAACATCAGGGAACACCGTCCATAAATCATTTGAGTTTGAGCACCAAGTATGATTCATGTAATTGATGCACACAAAGTGATTTGAAATAGATTCTGAGAGAAAATGTGCATAAAAGCCAAGGCAATCCATCCAATATTTGTCAGTACATTGTATTAAAACATATTGCTATAAGTGTGCAAATGCCAAACTGAGATTTAGACAGATGTTTGCATTTATAGGTTATGGGAGAAAGTGCTTAAGTGTATTCTTAATAGATAAACAGACATGCAGGGATGGTGGTAGAGGCGAGGAACAGTGACTTCTGGTATGATGGCGGGCACTAGTTAACCAACTATATTTAGATAAACCTACATAAGTCATCTCCACAGAAAAAAGTAAGATATGAGTGGGGTTAACAATAAAAAAATTAATTTAAAAAACGAGCGAACACAAAGATAAACTAACAAGGATTAGCGCTACAGGATAATGCAGGAACGCTGGCTGTCGTGCTAGCAACTATTAGCAATGATATCAGAGAGCTCAAGCAGAATTTAAAACATCAGAAATCTAGATTTGGAGAAGAACTGAAGATAGAGATACAGATAGAAATTGAAAATCTCTGGCAATGTGTATACAGTAAGCTCACAGAAAATAACAAGAATCTGCAGACCCAGAAAATAAGCATTGGCTCAGTCTATGATTGGCACATTAGCGTTAGCATTAGCGTTAGCATTAGGCGCTGTTGTGAACGTTGTACCTGACATGGCAGAAGCCAGACAGTCTGCATGCAAAGACTTCGGCATTTACTCTGTTTCTGGGGTCACACTGAGTCAACCTTGACACATATTTTGTTAACATTCAGTACAAGTTGTGAGCGTCGTTCATCTAGCAGGAAACTCGATCTGCTCCTTGTGCACTCTACTCCCATCACAGAGGACGTCCACTCATAGTTTATTGAATCCTGTTTTTTCTGCATCTCCTGTGGCAGAGCAGCTTGTGTCAGCACATCACAGAATAAGCCCTCGCCTGGTCTGAACATACAACTGCCTCTCCAGCTCCGACACACACTGACACTCTAATTAGGAGTGGGTGGTACAGCGCGCAGCAGAAAGCTATCATTAACCGTCAGGGACGCACGACAGCAGAGCTTAACATTATCAATACTGTCAGAGGAGTTTATGATTCAACATCAAAAAGGTATATATACTTTACCTTCTGACACTGCCAGGTTATGTAGTGAAGTTGGTTGTTTAGATAAAACCTGAAGATGAAGTAAAAATGTCATTGTCACATTGTTCTGGAAGTAAACAAAGGGGAGTGATGGGGAGAAACTCTGAGATGTTAGCCTTTGCAGACTGTTTACATGCACAACAACTATAACACACTACAGGAAAGAGAAACCCCTAAAAAGCACCTCTTTAACCCTCAGGAGTCGACCGTCACGCCGACAAATATTAAGAATTGAGAGATAGTTATATTTTTCGAGTTTTGCAGATATAACTGATATTTTTGTTACGGAGAACTCTGAACGTGAGTCAGCTTGTTTTTTGACTTGGAGGATGAGAAGACCGTTCATAAATAAAACGCCTCTGGATACACCTGCTATTTGTCCATAACATGTGTATATAGGTTCATGCTACCTCAATCGAACTTTTACATTATCATAGTGACATCCCAGGTATATATTTCCAGCTTTCAAAATGTTTCGTTGCGGATGTTTGTGTTACCTATAGTACAAATAATATCACTTTCAAAATCATTTTTTACGTTTTTTGGGCGATTTTGCGTCCAAAATGTTAATCTATGTCAAAATGTAAAAAATACCTATCAGTTTATATAGGTGAGGTTGTCTTAAAACGATAGATACCAAACATTGACATTTTAAACATTTCTTAATGGGAGTAAGACAAATCAAAAGTAGGCGAAAACTGCCAAATTAGCCCAGGACTCTAAGAGAGACTTTGGAGGCTCATAGGGCGGACAGAGGGGCCCTAATGTGAAATCCCATGACCGTATGCTTAACATACAATTACTGCAAGCCGGACAAGCCGAATTTATGTGGCAGGATTATCACCTTAGGTCCCAGATCCGAGACTACTATCAAACTCCCTGGTCATTTTTCAGGACAGTAAACGTGAACATGTGTAGATGATGACAGCGTTAAACTCTGGGAATAAATGATGAGACCACCAGCCTGCCAGGACAAGGTCAGCGATGTGATTTACAGCGACGTCAAGAAGAACACATGGATAACAAACAGCTCATGCCTCAGAAAGAGAGGAACAGAGCAGAGTGTGATGTTTGCATTTACTGAGGTGATTAACTGCCAAACAGGACACAGTGTGATCTTTCCGGTGACACAGAGTTAAATGTTAAGCTTGATTAGGGCTTTTTTTAGTTCTTGACAAACAACTGCGTAATACGAGCCCTTTTCATCTTAAGCTATTGAACTGATCAAGTCTGCAGACTAAACCGCTGCAAATGCAAGCATGTCATCCGTTTTAATAAGCAGCACTTTGCACTGACACTTTAAGTGGGTTGCATTAATGCCTTCATGGCTCAGTAATTAGCAAGACTCAATTTCACAGAGCAGGTTATTCAGCAGGGACAGCAACCGTGCATCAGGAGGGAGGAGAGACAACAGTGTGGGAGGAAGATAAGGAGACAAGAGGAGGAGAAAGGGACGAAGGGAAGGAGACATAGGGCAAAGCAAAAGTTTGTAAATTACACATTGGAAGAAGTGACGGAGGAAGAAAAGGAGATATAGGGAAGAAGGGAAGGACTCAAAGTAGGAGAGAGGGAGGAAGGGAAGGAGATGTTAGCAGGAAAGCAAGTAGGAGATGGGGAGGAAGGAGGGGAGAAATAGGAAATAAGAAAAGTAGTAGAGAGAGGAAGGAAAGGAGATATTGGGAGGAAAGAAAGGATACAAGGGAAAGAGATGGGGAGGAAGGAAAGGAGATGTTGGGAGGAAAGAAGGAGACCAAAGTCTATGAGATAGGGAGGAAGGAAAGGAGACATGGGGAAGAAGGAAAGGTCTTATAAAGGTAGAAGAGAGGAAGGAAGGAAAGGAGAAATACGGTGGGTCAAATGGGAAGTATACACATTAGATGGAGAAAAAAGGGAGGAGATGCTAGGAGGAAAGAAAGGACACAAGTGTGAGAGAGGAAGGAAGGAAAGTAGACATTGGGAGGAAGGAAAGGAGATGTTAGGAGGAAGGAAAGGAGACAACAGGGAGTAAAGGGGGAGGAGGAATTGCAGTGGGAGGCAGGGAAGACCACAGCAATCAAATGTTCCCCTTGAGTGGAGGATAATGTGATGAATGGAGAAGTGAGCCTATGTGTGTGCAGCTGCATATCTCCTTTAGTTATCTCAGAACACTCATCCTACTTCAGAGGATGTTTCAAACAAATCCTGTGCATTTAAAGGAAGTGAGTGATAATGATATAAACAGCCATTTTACCCATCAAGGTTACGGATTGAAGGAAGTGGAAGATGGGACGTTTATTGTGCAGCAGAAGCAGCTATAAAGCAGAGTGCATGCGTTGTGTTAACGAGGACTTAATGCAGGATGCTGCCAAGATGTTTCACTGACGGTAATGAACAAGGAGCTGGCTACTGTACCAAACCTTTATTCTCATTTATCACTACTTATCAACGTGACTGAAGATGTGTCTGTGAAGCTAAACAGCAGGTTTATAGTCAGGGCATTGCTCCGTGCTGTCGCTGTATAATATTAAAGGACAGTTGGATGTCAGTTACCTTCAAAGTCACTGGTAGACTGTGGAGAAAAAAGCTGCAGAAGTGTCCTCTTGGATTCCCATATGTTAGATTAAACATGAAGAGCTCTCCAGGGTGGCCCTATGTGCATGAAAATGTGATGGTTTGCCCTTTCAGAGGAAGAATTGTGATGCAGTGCAGTAATGTCTGTCCTTAAAATGAAGACGTGCCCTTTGCCCTTCCTGCAGAGAAAATGTGAAGACGTGCACATTAAAGCACCGTCTTATATCAGCTTATATCACAAGGCTTAGGCAGGCTGCTAACACGTGTCTAAATGAGACGACTCGACATCATCACACCCAACATTAGCCACCTTTAGCTTAGCGGTGGTGACGTGAGGTCATGGGACCGTGCTGTAGTTCCTTTATAGCCAGGGGTGCACATAAGTGGTACGCAGGTACGCATGCGCGGCAACAATCTGAAATGCGTACCGTCACTTGTGTCACAAAGCGCATTTGTGCGTACCGATGTATATGTGAAGCTTTTCCATAAGGCGGTTGGATCACCGGACGACGGAGTCGGTCTCCGTGTGCAAAGACAGGGCTGCTGTTAACGTCGGCCTGTACAGCAGCACTGCGCTAAAACAGCTGATCACAACGTTCACACGCTCTGTGGTCACGAAGCTCTGCACTCTACTACTACCCNCGCAGCATTTACTAAAAGCTGCAGAAACACAACGCTGCAAGAAGCTCAAACACAACGACACAGGCTACTTTATGCAAATCAAAGGACGGCAGTGGGTGATGAAACTGAATATTTATGCTTTTTTACTATTGTGAGAAAATCACTTAAGTGCTCATCTTGTGAATTTCACAGTGCATTTACACAGAAGTTAAAACTATTAGCAGTGCTGCCTCTTTAACCTTCAGCATATATCATTTAATCTAATCACTGATGCAAAAGAGAAAGTGCACCCTTTGTTAACTTCAGCAATCACTGCATACCACTCACGCTCCTATTGGCTACAGAGCAGACTGGGCTCTGGTTTCAGACAGAGGGTGAAAAGTGGTGTTGCAGCACAGGCAGTATGAGAGAAATAAAGAGCTTTTTGAACATTAAACAGACCTCAGTCTTTTGTAGTTATAAATTAAATTAGTTAGTGATTGGATACCTTAATTTATTAATGACAAAAGTATCAAAGTATAAACATACCATTTTGAGACTATTCCATTTTTGCTTATAACTCATCTGTGTTTAAGAGTATATTACAAAATTGGTCGAACTTATTGATGACATTTTTCTTTATTGTATGCTTTGCCTCTCTGTGCACTTCGAATCCAAATGTTCTGACATTTTGATCATTATTTCTAAGGATACATGCGATAAAGGCCGACTCAGTCCCCTTAACAGAGGCCTACATTGTCACCATTTCTGGTTATCAATCAAAAATAATAAATTTACAGTAAAATATTCTTATACAACCATCCTCTTCAGAAATAAACATATTACAGTAATACAAATACAGGGGATTGTGCTTTGTCTCAACCTTAGTTACCCCTAAAAAATTCACAATACATCAAACATTTTCCCCCATTCACGATATCTCTTATGAAGAGGCAATATTCAATATAGGCTCTACATACCTTCCTTCCGTCCTCAGTTCCTACATGTCACAAAATACAAATCTGAAAATTCACCTAATATATCCTCTTTAAAACTCTTTCTCCCGCCTCTCTCTCCAGGATGCATCACCTCTCTGCTGCAGAAACTGTCTCCGAGTCCTCTGAGCAGCTACCATGGCGTACCCTAACACCAGCTCACTGACAGCCAACTCCAGTGGATCTCTGGGGGGTCACGACCACGGGGGAAACATCTACCGGCCTTTCTCTGTTTTCAGCGTGCTCACTCTCACGTTACTGGCCATGCTGGTGGTGGCCACGTTTGTGTGGAACCTGCTGGTGCTGGTGACCATCCTGAGGGTGAGGACTTTCCACCGTGTGCCGCACAACCTCGTCGCATCCATGGCTATCTCCGACGTCATGGTGGCCGCCTTAGTGATGCCGCTCAGCCTCGTCCATGAGCTCAACGGCCGGAAGTGGAAACTGGGACGAGTTCTGTGTCAGGTTTGGATCTCCTTCGATGTTCTCTGCTGCACGGCCAGCATCTGGAACGTGACGGCCATCGCGCTGGACCGCTACTGGTCCATCACCCGGCACCTGGAGTACACTCTGAAGACGCGTAAAAAGATCTCCAACGTGATGATCGCGCTCACCTGGCTGCTGTCGTCCATCATCTCCCTGTCGCCTCTGTTCGGCTGGGGGGAGACCTACACGGAGGGGATGAAGTGCCAGGTGAGCCAGGAGCCGTCCTACACCATCTTCTCCACCTTCGGAGCCTTTTACCTGCCGCTCTGCGTGGTGCTGTTTGTTTACTGGAAGATCTACAAGGCCGCCAAGTTTCGCATCGGCACCCGCAAGACCAACACCATAACTCCCATGGCTGAGGTGATTATACTCATGACATCAATTAATATTGTGCGTTCATATCGGACATAAAACAAATGTTTCTTTTATGAACAAGTTTAATTTTATTGGTTGAAAGCAAATCAGTGCTGAATATCTCTGCCTGTCATTGTTTGATTATAAATATAGATGTCATAGTTCATAATATTTGTTCAGAAATGGCTGTTTTTAAAAGTATGTGTACAAACTATATTTATCCAAACTCCACCCAGAAAACACGCATTTTAAACCTTTCTTGCAGACACACTTGCCAAAGCATTAATTCCTGATTCTTAATAATCAGTATGTAGTTATTTCGGCATCATTTTGATACGAGCATTACCATCAAATCAGAGGCAAATCTTCGCTGTGCATCCGGTGTGAATGCACCATTAGAAATCATAATATCATTATCCTCCCCCTTGTCTAGGCGTTAGGTAATACATGTAGATATCACTGCTCGAACTCAATCAGAGAGCTAGAACAAACTGTACGTGAGAAAGTTGGTAGAAAGCTCTTTGTCTGCAGTTCATTTTGAGTTGAGACTTTTTGCGCTGCAGCTTCAAAAACAATTTAAATATAAAGTTTATCAAGGCATGACTTTGACGACCTTACAACCTTATATCTGAAACTGCCGTGCAGATGGTTTGACACGGTGGCAGAGTAGATAAACCAGCAAGAACAACAGCAGTGAGTGTGCAGGAGGTGACACAGCTGAGACCAGCGAAGAGAGCGAGGAGACAGCCAGCCGGAGAGAGAATCGATGCAGGAGACATGGCCCACCAGGGGGGCTGAAAGTGTTGCCCAAGCGAAGAGGAGAAGCACAATGCTCCTGGCAAGTGCCCAGCATGAGATAGTGAGAGTGGAAAATGTGGGGGGAAAAAGGCCATTGGGGGAGAAACTGTTTTTCTGAGTCAGTGAAAGAAGTCCCTACGAATAAAAAAGCTCTGACCTGGGAGCAGTAAGTAAGCGATGTGGAGCATGGGACAGAATAAGAGCCCTTATTACACTAGGAAACATGAGTGCAAATACATAAAAGACACCAAGTTCATGCAGAAAAGTGTGCAGAAAACAGGGCTTTAAATATCGGCTGATTTTGAACGCACCATCCACTTCTGCCCGGAAAGCAAGAGAGCCAGTACAATATACAGCACAGAGGCAATCACTGCATTCAGATGATTACTCAAGACTTCTCACAGACATTGTACATGCCTTACAATTAGCATTAATGTGACACAGAGCGTCCCTGATGACTCCGAAAGAACTGCTCATGGCGAAGATGAGAACCATACTTCAAAATAATCCGGTCCCTAAGTGGTTCGACGAAGCCCTCATTAGACGCAGAGATGTAAACACGTAGAGAGGACCAGCATCCATTATCCAGGAGGGATGGGAATGCAGAGAATATAAAACAGAGACCCAGGAGGAGGTGAAACCCAACACCAAGTGTGCATGACGTGACGGTAACGGGAACTAAGACTGTCCATACAGACCGGCAGTATAGATTCACACTTCAAGTATTAGCCCACACTACAGTGGAGCTTACAGAGAACAAATACTGGGAGGAAGAGATGTCAAGGTGTTGGATAATACTATCAGCTGGAATAAACACTGTGAAAAGAGAGTTGTTTGGTAGGACTGATTATGTTAAGATTTGTTGGCCAACAGTTTGTTTCCCATGCAGAACATTTCTCCGTCTCCTCCGGCTGATGCCCCTGACCCACAAATATGAGTTACCGTGCAATTATTTATCATGATGAGCTATTCAGCAGCAATCAGGGAAACATAAGCATCGGACGCATGAGCATACGGGCGAAATAATTGCAGCAATCCTGCTCATCACCACCAGCTTGTTAATGTGCGTCGGCAGAAGGTAGAGGGCTATAAATATCACCTCCAGCACCTTTCTGGGTTTGGCGTTTCTCCAATCAGCCGACACGAAATTTCCCCGTGAAAATCGAATCAGCGCCCACTTTTCACCTGAAATGCAATCTGGATATCCTCAAATACACCTTAGTGATGGAGATTACAGCATTCTTAAAGCAAACACCTTTTTCTTTCCCTTATTAAAGACTTCAACATCACCCAGAGTCGAAGAAATGGGCAAACATAGACAGAAGATGGACATATTTAACAGAAAATACACATTCATGTAATGCATGTACTTTGAAACCCCCCCAAGATATTCGTTATTTACGCAAGTGCAACATGAATTTGCCTGAAATGTCTCAAACTAATCAGCCCAGTCTCGAAATGCTTTAGTTAACCAACTCTGTGTCAAGTTTCATTAAACAGGCAATCACTCCCGTAGCTGGCAATTAAATGGAATACATTTTATTAGTTTTCCACAGACAAACTCACAACTTATGGGTTGCATTATACGTGTCTCATTACCCAGCCGAATGTTGTTCTCATCATTTCCCAGCGAACATCGAGGAGTCAAAGCACCAAGAGATGTGAGAGATAATAATCCTAATGCACCGCTCCATCAACAACACCCACTGAAAGACATTAAGACGTAGAGACATCAGAAACACATTGTGCATCAGGTGAGGTGATGCACACACGACTCAACCCCATACCTCTCAGGAAAACATTACAAGTGTAGTTTCAGAAAGAAGTTTTACGCTAACTAGCAACGTTAGCACCAGTTGTGTTTGTGAAAACATTTCCATTAGCAGAAACACGCTGCAGCTTCAGAAAGGATGCAGATATAAAAACACAAAGGTTCCACATGAAGAAACAACTTCAGCAACTTGACAACACATTTAGAGAACATTCAGCAACTTGAGGAGACATGCGCAGCGTTTACTAAAAGCTGCAGAAACACAACGCTGCAAGAAGCTCAAACACAACGAGGACCAGGGGACACTAAAGAGTGACGCACACAGCTGGGAGACCAGGGGACACTAAAGAGTGACGCACACAGCTGGGAGAGCAGGGGAGACCAGGGGACTCTAAAGAGTGACGCACACAGCTGGGAGACCAGGGGACACTAAAGAGTGACGCACACAGCTGGGAGACCAGGGGACACTAAAGAGTGACGCACACAGCTGGGAGACCAGGGGACACTAAAGAGTGACGCACACAGCTGGGACACCAGGGGACACTAAAAAGTGACGCACACTGTGGACCATTTAAGGTTGAATCTAACTCTTAGTTTGAAGACATCACTGATACACTGTTAAAAGGACAGTTTCCAGATGTTGGGGATATCTGTTTAAAAGCCTTCACTCCAATATAATGCAACGAGATGGCGTTTGTGTATTTCTGTATTTAGGCGTGATGTGTCCATTTAAAATGAAGATCTTCAGTTTAGCTGCTGCACCATCTGGAGTGGAAGTGTCTTAAACAATCCACAATCAATTTTCATCCCAACAGCACTATGCTTTTAACCTCTGCTGTAAATGGACCTGGTTCATATGTCTTATCAGTTTAAGACCATACGGACCGGTATTGATTCGATTAAAAACCGCAGAGTGGACGAGTCTTCCATCCGGGTGCAGGATGCTTTAAATGTTGAGTTTAAAATGTTAGTCTGTGCTCTTTACTTCCGACACATTTAGCCGGATGCTTCGTCTTTATAAAAAGCTGTTAGGCTGCCGAACGACCGGGGAAACTTCACCTGATAAGAAGAAAGAGAGTCAGCCTTGAGTTGAGCTCGGCAGCAAATGAGTGAGAAGATTAACATTGACATTTCCTTTCTTTCCTCCTCCTCCCAGCCAAGCAGTGGGTTTGTGAAATGGCACGAAATGGGCTGCTGGAAAACGCAGATTAAAACACAGCTCCGTTTTTATGTTCTGTGTCGGGGGTGTGTGTGTGTGTGTGTGTGTGTGTGTGTGTGTGTGTGTGTGTGTGTGTGTGTGTGTGTGTGTGTGTGTGTGTGTGTGTGTGTGTG